ATTTTTCTGTGAAGCAAAACAGGCCACACATATAACAGTAAAAAATCCAACATAACTCTTTCTAAGTATAAAAGTCTCACTCCAATTTTGCTTTAGGCATCCGTCAATGTTGGATTGACCCTTCAAATGGAGCATTTCTGCATAATGACACACCAGCACCACCTGCATCTGCATCAGCCTTGCTTCCTTCTTGGCTACCTTTCCAATTCTAGTACTGCTGTTGGACTGAATTCCCTTTTCTGTGACATCAAGTCTTTCATCCTCAATCGCTCCACCTTTCTATAGTTGCACCCCGAGAGAGGACAAGACAAGGGTCCTTTTGTTTTGTGGAATTTAGCAGACAAGGGAGACAATACAATAATAACGTTAAACTCTGATGTTTTGATATTTGAAAATTTTAATTGACATAGCATAATACAATTATTCAAAGAATTTCAAATTTTATAAGGTAAAATATCTTGTTTGAATGAAAAATTTATAAAGAATTTGAAATTTAAGTATTTGTAAAAAAATTTGAAATAGTATAATTTTAAATTTTCTCAAAACAGTAAGAGTTTAAAATTTCTTATATGTTTTTCTTCTTATTTTATTTATATATTTTATCTTATCTCTTATCTCTTCATATTTTTAATTATTGAATATTTAAAAATATTTTTAAAATTATTAAATATTATCTATTATTAATTTTTAAAATTATTAAATAATTAAAATTTTAATATTTATTTTTATAAAATTTAATTTAAAAATCTCAAAATATAAATATATTTTTTTTTAAATTAATTTTATCGTGGTGGAATCAAATTATTATATCCAATTTAATAATTTAAAATTTAAGAAATTTGAATTGACTTATCCAAACAAAATATTTTAAAAATAATAGAAATTAAAATCAAAATAATTCAAATACTAAGAATTTTTTTAAATTTGTAAAATTCTTCAATTTTTTTATTAAGTATTATAAGTATAATAAAATTTCTTATTTAAACTAAACGATGTGATATTGAACAGTTCAATATTATACTTAGATGCTAAATCAAAATAATGATTAATGACAAAAAAAAAGTATTTTATATAATCAAAATGAATGTGAAAAAATCTAGCGGCATCAAATTCCACTAGTGTAAAACGACATCTATCATGTTTAAGGTAAGATTTCATTCTTTATTCTATTAAAAAAAAAATCAATTAGTTTTATCGTAAAGATAAAATTGAAATTTTGCATGACCAAAAAACATTGAAATATTTAAAAGTTGAATCTATTTGAGAAAAGAGAGAGTAATGAAAAAGTACATTTGAATTAAAATTATTATAACAAAATTCAAAAGTTATAATTTCACCACAATAATTTAGATGTTAACTTCCTTTCAAATATCATGTGGTAAAAGTTCTAGGTTAGTTTTTTTTTTTTTTTTCCTTTTCTCAAAGAGCTTGTATAAACCTGCTCAATGGTTGCTTTATCCTCTTAGCCCATGCTCTTATAATTGAACCAACAAAAGGAATGTTAGGAAGAACCTCTCGTCATACATACATTTCTAAATAATAATTCTTTCTATTATAAGGTGGTCACACATATTTTGTAATATCTTTCGTGAATACTTTGTCAGCTCCATTTTATTATTATTTTATTAAATTTCTATTTTTGATTTGTTTTTGTAAGTTTTTAGTTTAGAATATAATAAATTTATATTTAAAGAATTCTAGTCTATCATTTTTTTTAGAAATTTTTTTTTATTTGTTTATTTGTATGTTGAAAATCAATTCGCTCGTGAAACTAATGAAATTATATAATTCATTCTTAAGAATTTATATAAAAAAAACTTTAAAATTTAAGTATTTATAAAATTTCTTATAAATATAGAATTGCAAATTCTATAAAAAAAAAGTAAGAATATAATTTTTTTTTCTCCTACCTCCCTCTCATCTTATTATTAAAATTGAGTAATATTTAATTTTATAAAATATAATCTTGAAACTTCAACACATATATTTGTTTAAAATCACACACACA